CTGCTGAACGACAGCGCGTACAGCATAACGACCGATCTCACGCTCGCGATAATGAACGGCAGCGGTTACGATCTGTATGACGTTTATAATCACTGCAAGTATCGTAGAGATACGCTGAACGTGACAACGCTAGGCTCCTGGCAGCGGGAAACGGGCTTTGTCATCACTCTGACTCAGCCTTTGGTCCAGAGAAGAGCCGATATGCACGGCATGACGCTGAAAATATCAGGCGTGGTTCGTATCATCGAATATGCACAAAAATTAAATTTGATCACAAAAATTAAATTTGATTATTGTTACATACTTTTTTCGCTGTAGATACAATACAGACCGAAAAATATGCGTTTGGAAGATAATATGCACGACATTAACACCAAATCGTTGGACAGCATGCATAAGTTCACGTACGCGATGATATCTCACACCGCCGATCTCTTTAATTTTAGGTATTTTTTTTTTTCTAGTAGACTTATTTTGAGTTTTTATTGCTAACAGCCCATTTCTTTTTTCAAGCGTATACGTTTCGGAGATAATTTACTGGGATCGTCACAGCGTGCACGCCTTAATTTTCGAGATATTGCAAGCGAATTATATCAATTTCGCCAGTAATCCCAGGATTATGGTGTCTGAAAGATTGGATTACGCCACCCACATCGGCGCTGCTTGGCCAATTCGGTATTGACACGCTTCTTAAGAAGCCATTAATCTGATGTATCGCTCAATGAATAATTAATTTTTCTCGCGCAGATGCTGTTTCATGCTGCTGTCTAGTCCATCGAACAAGATCAAACTCGAGATCTTTCTGAAGCCGTTCGCGAACGAAACTTGGTACTTGAACGCCGTGTTCATAGTATTCACCATGTTCATAATGAGAATAATAATGAGGTGCGAAGAGTCGAGCAAGGAAGAAAAGTATTCCGGCGCCATAGTTGTCATTATTGGCATTGTCGGTCAGCAAGGTATAAAATAACGCACGGATAAATTATCTCGTTAATTTAACTATAATTTCTTACGCAGGTTCAAACTTCTTTCCTAACCGCATCCCGAGCCGCATCGCTCTCCTGCAGATCCTCGTGTTCAACTGGATTATATACAACTATTACTCGGGTAGCATAGTATCGGCTCGTTTGAGCGAGCCGCTCGACATGATGGAGGATTCCGTGACGGTTCTCGCGGACAGCAATTTAAGAATCGCTGCGGAAGCTGTGCCGTATCTGAATTACTTTCTATACGTACATATATAATTCTCGAGATATATATATTAAAAGCTATACTGTTTTAGAAGCACCAAAATATTGCGTGTTGAATTTTCAGAAACTCAAGGGGGAGTCGAATTATTTCAGAAAGAAACGCTGGGATCCATTGCCGGAATCCAAGCGATACTTACCAATAGAAGAGAGTATGAAGCAGGTCAGCGAGGGCATCCTAGCGTATCACACGGACCCGAACACGGCGTATCCTTACGTCGAGAAGATGTTTGATCCGAACAAGATCTGCGCGCTCACGGAGATTCATCTGTTCAAGCAATCTGTCATGGGCATGTATGCTAGTTACAACGGTCAGTTCACCGAGTTGGCGAAAATCGGGTAAGCTCTCACCAAGGCTGGAAAGCTTACGTCACGATGAAGATTCGTAGAAATAAAAGAATTTTTTTTAGACTGTCTAAGATGTTCAATACTGGGTTACGCGATCGTCAAATAAAATATTGGTCGAGCAAGAAACCGCAGTGTCAGCTCGATACGTTGTCCACGAGAAGCATATCTATTTACGAGACTGCACCGGCTTTGATTCTATTGGCTCTCGGTTTGCTGGTCGCGTGCGGATTATGCATCGTCGAAAATATTGTCTATTATCGATCCACGGGGTAAGCTTGCGTCTTTGCACTTCGAAATTCATGAACGTTGGAAAAGTACGTTGCTTACAATTTTGCATTTCACAGTGAGATAATGTTTAGACGATCGAAGACAACAGAAAAGGGTGAAGAGGAGGATGGCCGAGACGAACAAACAATTTGCTCGGTGAAACTGTCTCGCCTTGAGAAGTTAAAATATTGACAAGTCGATTGTATGCGTTATAATTGGTTCATTTGCTAGCACCTCGTTATCGTACAAGTACTTATACTTATTTCACGCGCGAAGGGATAGCACATTATAAGTATAATTTTTCCCAGTCGTTGTAATATCGCTCTTATTAAAACCGTAGACTCATTTTGCATGGCAAATGACCTTCGGAAAAACTTTCTTTTTAGTACTTTCGTAGAAAACATCCGGATAATAGATAAAAAGACAAATCGATCCAGACTCGATAGTTCAGAAAAATTAGGAAACAGGGGCAAAAAGTGGCTCTTGAAACTGAAGAAGAAGTATCGAGCAATGTATACAGTGTGTTAAAATTATTTGAAGGCTCTGAATACATTGATGGCCACATAAATTATCTAGCCGACATTCGCTTGCAATGAAACTCGAAGAATCTTAATTAAGGAAATTTTTCGTCGAAGAAAGATCAATCCTAAATTAATTGGAGCATCTGGTGGCAAAAGAAATAGCGAAAGTAGAGTGACACCCTGTGTATGGCTAGCATCACATATAGACTGTGTTTGGCGAGCGCGCTATCAGCGCAATATCATTCTATCTTTATCGTTCATTGGACATAAACAAGGATAGAATACACAATAGCGCTGAACGCAGCCATAGTAGCCGTATGATTATGCTGTCATGAATTCCGAACTTTGTAAATCGTTTCTACTCCAACTACTGGCTTCAATATCACTAATATCTCAGAACTGTCTTCTGTCGTTCTATGTCAACTGAAAGTGAAACGGAGCAATTATGGTGTAGTCGTAGCTTCCTAGTCCGTATAGTACAACGAGAAAGAATGCGCCTGCTGGACGTTTTCTTCCTGCATGCGTTCATTATTGTCGCGTGCGCGCAAATGAGTATCATTATTCGAGATTATTTCGTTTACAAAAACGTGACCAGAGTAGTGGGATTCTCGTGCGGCGATACGGAAGGTAAGAACAAGCGTGCCTAGTGTGTGACTCTTTTTAACGGTTCTCTTTGCAGAGGATTTTCTCACAATGAGATTGTTGAACGTCGCCGGGATGTCCACGGCGATTAAACCAGCTGGATTCCAGCTGGATGTTCTGCGGTACCTCAACACCGATTACACTATGGGAGTCTTTCTGGACATACGATGTGCGAACCAAAACGTTAGCGGAATTTTTTATGAAGTGAGACAATTTCGCATAATTCTTTAAAAAAATCTTTATCTTCTTCCGGAAATTAAATGAAAGGATCAAATCTGTATTTACAGGCCTCGACTCATCGCATGTTTGACTTTTCGTACAATTGGCTAATCTTGGGAAGCAATATAAACCACAGTTTGCAAAACTTAAACGACACCGGCTTCAGCGTCGTCACGGATCTCGCGATTCTGCTGCCGGACTCTGCCGAGAACGAGACCGATTTCGTTCTCCACGATGTATACAATCCCTGCAAATGGCGCGGCGGAATGCTCAACGTTACGCAGCTCGGTACTTGGAGAGAATACGACGGACTCACGATCACTCTGACCGGCTCGAGAATCTTTAGACGGCGAAATTTTCACGGATTGCGAGCCAAGGCGGTCGGGATCGTAAGCTCTTCTTTAGTCAATTATTTACGCGTAATTTATTTACTATGCAGGCGATGTATTCTTCTATAGGTGCGGTTTAGACCGTCACACGTGAGTTTAATAGACTACCTGGAAGACGATACCCATATGGACAACTGGTCGAAATTCGGGCACATTCTTCTCTCGCACGTCGCCGATATGTATAACTTCACGTAATTGATCACGATTATGTTTAAATATCTGTGCGCGTATCTATTGATCGCACAATGAATTTTTTTTTGCGCACAGCATGGATATCATTGAGATCAATCACTGGGAGAAGAACGACAGCAACGGTCCCATGATGGGCGCTTTGAAGAGAAACGAGGCCGACCTGGGCTACTACCCGTCCATCCTGACGATCGAGAGATACGGATACGCGCGTGTCATCTTTCCGCAATGGCCTACGCGGTAAACAAAATTGAAAAATTACTGCAAAACGTGCAGAAAAAGGAAGTATAACGAACTAGAAATATCAACGTTTGTCCAATACGCCATATTTTTTATTCAGAACCTGCTTCATATTTCGTACCATTCCGGCGATGAAGATGAAACCTTGGGTATTATTGAAGCCGTTTGCGGCGGACGTGTGGTGCTTGATCTTCGTGCTTGTGATAATTATCGTTATCCTGTTGTCTTTCATACTGAAGCTAGAACGCGCCGACGATTACAGCTGCAGCATTTCGGCATTGGTCGCCATCGCCGCGTTAAGTCAGCAAGGTATTTGCAATCATCAAAAACGAAAAAGTCAATATATGTATCGCGTTTTTTTACTATTCATATCTGCCAGGTTTCCCATACTTCAATGACCTATCGGCTAGTCGAGTCGCCCTCATTCAGATCACTGTCTTTGGTCTGTTGGTGTATCAGTATTATTCAGCGGCGATAGTGTCGGCTAGATTGAACGAGCCTCTTCACAAGATGAACGACTCGTTGATTTCGCTGGCGCACAGTGGAATGAAACTCACGGCCGAACAGAACGTCTTCTTCAACTTCTTGCTGCGGGTAAATAACACGCATTTATAATATGTTACTTATTTGATCACTTCAATGAACTCTTATTTTCTCAGAATCCAAGGCCAGAGGTGCAATACTTCAAAGAATATTGGAACTCTCTACCCGATAAAGAAAATAGGTTTATTCCGATCGAGGATGGTGTGAAGGGAATAAAAAAAGGAGGCTTCGCCTATCACGCCGATCCGGACGATATCTATCCGTCTCTCGAATACGAGCTCGAGAAGCAGATGATTTGTCAGCTCACGGAAGTTCACTTGATGCAGTTAGGGTCCGAGTTAGGTTTATGGTCTAATCTCTACAGTCATTTTCACGAAATTTCCAAAAGAGCGTGAGTATAAAGCGAGCTATAATATATTAAGGGGATGCTCTTACTTGCTCGATTTTAGCAAAATAATCTTGACAAAGCGAATAAGTAATACAAGTCAACGATAAATCAGACATCCTCGCTTTTCAGTAGTACAAGTTAAACGTTAAGCTAGACATTCTATTTTAAAAAAAGCTACCAAGCTCCATGAAGAGAAAATTCCACCGAGATTTTTGTTTTGTTTAACGTAGAATGTTTAACGTTGACTCGTACAACAATTTTTGTTCTTTGAAATAAAATATCGTGAGAATTTATTTAATATTATATAGATTAAACTTATGTGTTTTCAGGTTACTGAAGATAAACACCTCGGGACTTCGACGGCGAGAGATACGCCGTCGATCGGCCAGAAGGCCTTATTGCCCGACCGACGAGATTTTCGTCTCCAGCGTGACCATCTACGAAGCGGCGCCAATCTTGATTCTTCTCATCTTTGGCATGATACTTTCGCTCATTATATTCGGTATCGAGCACGCCGTCTTCTATATGAATTCGAAACAAGGTCCAATCATTAATAAGAATACCAAGGATAAAATGTTGTCAATAGAGAAAAGTAAAGCATCGCTCGATAAGAAAAAGAATTTATTGCTGAATAAGAAAGGTAATCTATCGCTGAAGGGCAAAGGACCGCCTAAGAATAATATCATTCTGGTCCTTCCGCACGCGAGCACTCTCTTCCAGAAGGTATTAATGTCGGACCGATATCAATAAAGGATAATATAGGTGAAATTGTAGACAATAAGTGGATTTTCAATTTTCATGTAAATTATTTACCCGATCATCATTACAAGTATACGTAGTGCGCGAATAAACGTGCTTAAATAAAGTACAAATATCTTTTTAAGATTGTTTCTACATCTTGACACGACGCGATTATTAGAATACAACAATCGCATTGTATAAATCACGCATGTATATATTTTTTATATTTCGTTACATATTATTATGCCGTACTTTACACGCATTCGGGAAATAACTGTGTAAATAACACGTTATCATTTGGAAAAAGTGTGTAAATACAATTATCTTATCACTTTACGATGATGGAAATGTAAATTATTTTTTCTTCTTAGATTTCTTATCAGCGACTGGTACTGTTCCCGTGAGATTCGCCAAACGCTGCTTAAGTTCCAATAATATTTCCACTTGTGGTTTCCACACGCTTCCATCTTCCTTGGTCTTTAATTCTCGCACAAGATTAACCTAAAATTCCAACGTGACATAACGGATCGAATGCGGCAGCAAAAGAAAATTTGGTTTGTGATGTTCAATACCTGTTTCGCGATTGCCGACTCTACACCGCTACGTCCATCAGAGCATCCCCGTTTTGTTCCGGCACATGCGTCGGTTCGGCCTTCTTAATTTTAGTGGGTGATTTTTTCTGTGGCTCATTGGAATCGACTTTAAGATTAGAAAGCTTTTCTTTAAGTCTACCAGAATGTCTACTTGAGGCTGCCAGACGCTTTTATCGTGTTTAGCTTTCAGTTGTCTTACTACGTTGTCCTGGAAAATACGTAAGATACAAGGAAACTGTCTTTGCAGTGCACGGAAGAAAAGTTTACTAAACTGCTTACCTGTTTTGTGATGGCGGCTTCTAATGCCGCAATGCTATCATCAGAAGTTTTGCTCGCCGCCGGTTCTTTGCCATTAGTCTCTTGTTGTCCAGCGTATTTAATCCGTAACATTTCTACCTTTTGATCTTCAATCTTGGTGAACAATGGACTGGACTTGCCGATTTTGTGCCACGTCGGCAACATATTCGTTATTGTCTTAGGAATGTAGCCATAACTTTTGTTACTCAAACCTAGTTGAGATCTCAGTTGTTTAGTTGTCGTCGGCATGAAGAGAGTTAAAAGGGCGGACAAAAAGCAAGCTAAATTGCAGCAAATTGCAACAACAGTCCCAGCTCTCTTCCTATTGATTGAAGATATTTTTCGATTAAAAGAACAAATGAAAACCAACGAAGAAAATGGTCCTGTGAAAAACTGTGAAACTAATGATTACTTGTCGTCGTCGGTTCCCTTGATTTTCACCCACGGCTGCTGGAATTGCATGTACTGATTGCCATGCTTGGAAATCGCCAATATGTGTTTCAGGCCATCTCTCAACTTGGCTTGTTCCATGGCGTTAATGTAAGACGACAGTTCGCGTTGCGCTAACGCCAGTACGGTCCAATCGGCCTCCTCCGGTTCGATCGATGGTATATTAGAGTCGAAAAACTTCTCGCAGAATACTAGAGCTCTATCCGAGAGAACAAGTGTTTGGAACTGTTAATAACAGTTTCACAATGTTAATTATTGACGACTTGGAAGAAAATCGGGTAAATACAAACCTGTTAACAAAATTGCCAAGATTATTCAATAACTCGCTGTTGTTTTTCGTGGCTAAATCCACCCAATTAAAGTTGGAATCTTGAGTTTCGGGCCTAATATAGGCTAAATAAAATCTCCACACGTCCGCGGGAATGCCGGTTTCTCTGGCATCGGTGCCAAACACTCCAATTCCTCTTGACTTGGAGAATTTCTTATCTTCATAATTCAAATATTTTGAAACGGAATAAATATTAAAGTAGGAAGAAAATAGACGATTATACATGCGCAATAGATAAGATATAAAAGAAAAAAAAGCAGACTGATAAAAAAATATTGATATAGAGAGATAGTTTTAAAATAAATGTGTGCGTCCGACAGATGTGTATTTTTTTGAAGATATCGTACCAGTTGCCATTAAATACTTGATCAACGTGTAATTTTGATTAGCCGCTAGCAAACAAGCGGGAAACATTATCGCGTGAAACGGAACGTTATCCTTTGCCATAAACTGGAACAAATCGACTTTTGTATCCTGAAGAGGTTGCCACCATTTCTCATATTCTTTGGTATACTTCTTTGTAATACTGATATATCCGAAAGGGGCGTCAAACCAGACGTAAAACACTTTATTTCGAAACCCTTTACTGGGACCGGTATGCCCCACTTCAGATCTCTAGTAATGCAACGCGGCTTAAGACCGTCGCGTAACCATGCTTTCGAAACCACTCTCGCAACGTTGGACCATTCTTTCTCCACGGTTACGTTATATTCTTTCAATTTCTCCTCTATCTGTAACATCAGAAAGTTTTTTGCTTATTTATTTATCAGAAACGCATGAGTAAAGCTTAGCTTTATGTAAACTTACCTTAGGTAAATCCAGGAAGAACTGTACCGAGTT